GGCACCAGCCAACCCAGCTACTGCCAACACAGCTCCTCTGCCATCTCTCCGCCAGCCTGACGGCCGTCCGCCTCTACAGCATCACCGTCCTGCTGGGCGCTGCCCTCCTCCTCCTCCTCCTCCCGCTGGCACCCGGCAGCACCCAGGTGAGCCCCCACCCTGCACCTTGCCCTCCCGCTGCCCCACGCGAGGAGCCAGCCTGGGCAGACCCACACGCCCTCCGTGCCACCCAAACCCAGCGCCCACCTCTCTCCCCGCAGGCTCCGAGCGACACTAAGCAGGAGGACCTGGAGCGGGATTTGGCCATGGAAAGGTAAGAGGCTCCCAGCTCTGTTTTCCCCCAAAATGATCCCAACTCTCCGAGCATCCAGCCCTGGCTGGTTTCCCTTTGCCGGTGGCAGCGGGAGCTGCAGTGCCCATGTCCCAGATCCATCCAGCCCGTTTGTGGGATAAGCACCTAAATTTGCCCGTTTGCTCCCCGAGATCCTAATTGCAGTCGCCCGGGGGGGAGGTGGTGTCTCACTGTGGTCCCTGCACCCTGGTGGGGTGGGATTCCCCTGGAGCAGGGGGATATTTAGTCACCTCGATGCACTGTGACCTCTCCCCACCGCTTTTGCTCCCTTCTTCCAGCATCCTGGGCCCACGAGCCGTGGAGATGCTGGAGGAGGGGGAGATCACCGAAGAGGTGGAACCAGGTATAAAGGTCTTCTCCAGCAGTGCCTGGGCTCAGTGGGGCCACCACCAAGTCCAGGTGGAACCAGAAGAGGACCTCGATCACCTCCACCACCCCGAGGACGACGCCAGGGAGGCTAACGACCACGGCTCACCCCAGATGCTGTCCCTGGAGGTGGAGAATGGCCCGGAGGAGGACCTCGATCATCTCCACCACAGCTGAGCGGAGACGTGTCCAGGCTGTGAACCATGGGGTGGGAGCTGCTCCTGGGGCTTCCCAAGGGGGCTGGTCCCTCCATACCCACCCTTGAGCCCCCAAATATACCTCTCCATGACCTGCTGGGCTCCCCATTGCTGCCAGAAACCTACCAGTAAATGCAGAGCCCCCAGATCTCCAGGATCCCCCAGATCTTGGGGATCCCCCTCTTTGGG